ATGAGGCATCACGGCGGAGAAGGCGCGCTAGCACAGAGCTAGGACCATTTCGTCAACGGGTTCCTCACTGTCCATCAGTTTCACGACAAGACGCGACGACTCCGCCAACTCCGCTTCGCTGTATCCGATTTTCTTTTAGTCCTCTTCGTTTTGCATTGCGCATCATGACGAGCATTGACGACCTCTTCAAAAGCGCAAATGGCTCCGCAAAGCGCAAGTTCGAGAACCCAAACGAAGCCGACCCGACGCAATCCTACAAATCCGCAAAACTCGACGTAAATGGAGACGCCAAAGGCGCAGTCCAAGCCTCGGTAGCCGATGAAGACGACGAAGACGAAGCTGGCCCCTCATTACCACCTGATTTCGAAGAAGGACCTGGCGACGATGACGAAGGACGGTTCTTTGGCGATGGACTGGATGAGAATGCGCGGGATGCTATGGAATACATTGATGCGCAAGACGGCGACGAGGCGATAGGAGAGGAAAAATACGACGTGCCGTGGGTGCGCAAATTGGCGCTCAACTTTGAGAAGAAGGTCAACAAGAACGCATCGCTGCGCGCAAAGTACGAGGACGACCCAACAAAGTTCATGGAGTCAGAAGGCGATCTGGACGAAGGCATAAAGGCGCTCAGCATACTATCAGAGCACCCGGAACTATACGAGGAGTTTGCGAAAAGTACCGCGGCGTCCAAGTTGGTGGAACTATTGGCGCATGAGAACACCGACATTGCAATCGCAGCGATTGAGATGATATCCGAGCTCACAGATGAAGACGTTGGAGGAGAGCAAGAACAGTGGGATGCGCTCGTCACCGCATTGATGGACGCCGACCTACTCAGTCTGCTCATATCCAACTTCTCCCGCTTCGACGAAAGCGACGAGGCCGACGCATCGGGTGTATACAACTCCCTCAGTGTCATCGAGAACCTACTATCACAACCTACATACACCGATATAATAGGGCGGGAAACTGCTCTACTAAAATGGCTACTAGACAGGATACAAAAGCCCGAGAAACCAACCACCCAGAACAAACAATACGCCTCCGAAATCCTCTCCATCCTCACCCAATCCTCGCGACCGAACCGGAACCACGTCGCCGACGCAAATGGCGTCGAAATCTTCCTCACAAACCTCGCGCCATACCGAAGAGACGACCCAGAGAAGGATAGCAATGAGGAGGAATACATGGAAAACCTGTTCAACTGCCTATCCTCCATAACAGAAGAGCCCCTAGGAAAAGCCAAGTTTCTAGAAGCAGAAGGTGTGGAACTCTGTCTCCTCTTCGTTCGAGACGGCAAGACGAGCAAGAGCCGTGCCTTGAAGGTATTAGACCACGCCTGCGGCTACGCAGAAGAAAGCACTGCACCACAAACAAACGGCACTTCAAAAGGCAAGGAACCAGTACAAGAAACCACACTCAACAGCGCAACAGCCGTCTGCACCAAACTCATCGATTCGCGCGGTCTCAAACCCCTCTTCAGCACATTCTCCAAAACAAACAACACGAAAAAATCTCACAACGATCCCCAACAAACCGAACACATCCTCGGTATCTTCGCCTCTCTCCTGCGCTCTCTACCCGGTAACTCAGACACCCGTTTCCGCCTACTCGCCAAATTCCTCGAAAAGGATTACGAAAAGATTACAAAACTAGTCTCCCTACGCAGAGACTACGTCACCCGTCTCTCCGCCTTTGACCAACGGTTAGCCGAGAAGCGAAAAGCACTCAGGCCACGTAGCAAAGAGGACCTGGAGAGCTTCGAGCTGGAGAATATTCCTGAGCGGCTGAGCGAGGGCTTGTATTGTCTGGAGAGGATCGATGCCGTGCTGGCTTGGTTGGTGGCGGAGGATGGCGGCGCAAAAGTGGCGATTGAGAAGGCGTTGGGGGAGCGGGATGAAGGGCTGGGGGATGTCAAGAGGACGTTGCAGGCGCAGCTTGATGGCGTTTTGGCTGTTGAACCGGCTGAGAGGGACATGTTGGAGACGCTGGTGGGGTTCTTGTAAATAACGTATACATGGGGCTTATACGCAACGGATTTCTGTATTGATAGGTGGTGCAAGCGAACATGTATGAAAGATGTATGCTGGTATTGATATATGACTTTTTTTTACCCTCCCCCTTTGGGAATAACAGTACTCGCCTATATGCAGATGCTCGAAGACACCATTGAAGTAGTATATAAATGTATCAACCCCACCATGCTTTTCATCTCATCATGCAATGCCCACGCCCACGTATTCAGGCATCTCCAACAGAACGCACCATCTTAATTCCTTCCCCTTCTCTAGCCCTCGGCTTCAATCTCATACGCATTCGACTTGTGCTTAGGCTCAAATTTGAAGTTGGGATGCGCAGGACCCAAGAACATCTCACTACATCCCACGTTAGCCAAACCATTTCAACACAAAGTAACAACAACAAAAGAAAAGCCAAACATACCTGAGCTTAATCCAATCCTTGTAATGCTCACTAGCCATCAAAGTCTCTAAATCGTTTCTTCCCCTAAACCTCGGCGGGCGATCCTGGATATTAGGAGGTAAATGTTCCAGCAAGCCCACAGGCACATAGCGATGCGCGAAGCTAAGCCACTCGAGCAAGAAACGGCGCGTCGTACCAATACCCATCTCGTCGGAACCCCAAGTCTGCAGACCGTACTTGGTAAACTTTTCAATATAAGACAGGCGTTCCGAGGCAGACTTGTCAAGGTACTGGCCCTTTTCAATTTCCTCAAAGAGCCAGGGTTTGATGAGCGCGCCGCGGCCCACCATGACGGTGTCGACGCCGGCGTTGTCGAGATGGTTGTAGTAGTCCTCGTGGGAGTAGCAGTCGCCGTTGCCGACAAAGTAGACGTGGCCGCCATTGGCGAGGTCACGGGGATCAGCTTCAGCGACGGTGTCTGTCCGGTCGGCCTGTTCTTTGCGCAGGCGGTTGATGAGGGCGGAGCATTCGGCAATGTAGGACCAATCCGCGCTGCGCGAGTAACGCTGTTGCTTGCTTCGGCCGTGCAGCGTAATGGCTGCGATGCCTGAGGTACCCTTTCCGGATTCTACGGCCTCGTGGCCGCCGAGGACGAGGCGCTTGATGAGCTTTTGGGCGGTGGGGTGGTTGTCCTTAGTGCCCATGCGGATCTTGACTGTGATGGGGACTTCCTTAGAGACATAGGTCATGCCGCGGAGGATGTGCTCTAGCTTTGCTTCGCTGTCAAGGAGAGCGGAACCGCTTCCCTTCTCACAAACGAGGTTGATGGGACATCCGCAGTTGAGATCGATGGCGCGCAACTTGGGGCAGTATTCGGTCAATACCTCGACCGTCTTGGTAGCTAGCCATGGCTTGTTCGCAGCAATCTGTGCACCAAACTTCATATCAGTGGAGTTGTCGTAGCCCTGGACCACAGTGTTCTTGCCCAGGAATTTCGGAGGAGTTATCTCGGATTCATGGGCCTTGAGAAGTGGCCATTCGCCCTTGTCACCTTGGATGAGTGGCATACCCATGGCCATCTCGCTCCAAGTCACTTGGCAGCCAAAGTCCACGCAGAGTCGACGGTACGGCATGTTGCCCTGGGTGGTGAGAGGGGCGAGCATAGGCGTCTCGGGTCCATAGTAGAGCCTGCGCTTCTCCGACGGTCTGAAGGGTGCTTCGACGTACTCTGCCCTACGTGCCTCTTTTTCTTCCTTGAGAATCTCCATATTCATCTGAGCTGCATCGAACATCTCCCTCTCGTTGCGGTGGTTCTTCTCGATCCATTCAATGTACTGGTCAGCCCTCGGAGTGCCAATTTTCCGTCTTGACAAGCCAATCTTGACATCCTTTGGCACAATGTTGACCACCTCAGCCTCTGCTTCCTCGTCGAAGCTAGAGAACTTGGCTTTGCGCTCGGGATCTTCCTTTAGAACCAACTCCTGCCTGCCATCTTCTGTAGTGCGCTCCTCGGAATGGCTGCCGACGAATCGACACTTCCAGCCGAAGTGACAGAACCCTTTGACGGCATAGACCGGACATTGACCATCGAAAGTGGTGAGGTCTTCTCGTCGGCCTTCCTTTAGGTACTTGCGGATGTCATGTTCAAATTTGCACTTTTCGCCAAATGGACACTCCTTTGGCGAGAATTCGTTGTACACTGCACGAGTACCGCAGAGTGGTAACTTGTCGCGTGAGCTGCCGAATGTGCGACTGGTGTTTTGGCCTTTTTGCTTTTTGTCTTTCTTGCTGTTCTTGCCGTTTCTGGGGCCATCGCGGGCATCCGTCTTGGGCAGGCCTTGAGATTTGTGCTCTGCATCGGCGCCCTCGGCTGCATCGTCGTCGATGACTTTGTCCTTTGTATCGGCCTTGTTGTTGTCCAGGCGTATCAGAAACCTGGTGTTCTTAGCACGTGAGTGGTTCAGGTTGGTGGTGTAGTGTACTCTGCCTTGATGGGCGCAACACCCTTGACTCGCTTGACAGAAGTGTCAGCATCGTCAATGTCTTGGCTATTGGTCCTGTTCCTCTTCTTTGGGCTCGCAGGTGGTTCGGAATCCACATTCACGGTACCGTTGCCAGCATTCACGCCGTTAGTGGCGGCACCGTCCGGGGCGGGATGGGCGGGCGCAACCTTCCAGGTCTCTTCACCTGTCGTCATTTTATGCAAGCTTCAAGACCAGGCTTGCAGTACGCGTGTGTTGTTGGCGTTGCTGCTCAAAAGAGAAAAGCACTCGCTCAAATTGTGAGGGCGAATGCGGCTAGAAGAGGCTAGACCGGCGGCCCATGCGCTAGTGAGCAAGTTGGGAAAGCTGCGATCATACGTCACAGCTAGGCACTGGCGGCTGGCGGCTCCCCTACATCACATCGCGTTTCCGTTCCCACTTTCACATCAACACTCCTGCAATCCCCTCAGATCCTCCGCACCACTCTCGTCTCCCTGCTGGCTGTTGCACGTATTCGCACACCAGCTCTCCCAGATCCATTGTTGGTCCAGCTGAACCCCGCCCACACAAACACAATAATACCACGTAGCCAACATGACGCTCTACTACAGCCTGGTAAGCTTCAACGTCTCCCATAGCCACTGCTCGAGTGCTAACTCAATCAGGTCTTCATGCTCCTGGTGACGGAGATGCTCATCTTCTGCGCCCTCATCGTCCCTCTTCCCTTCACATGGCGCCGCAAGCTCTTCACCTTCATCTCGGAGAGCCCCATAATAGCAAAGCTGCAATATGGCATGAAGATTACCTTCATCTTCATCCTGATTCTGTTCATTGACAGCGTCAACCGCGTATACCGCGTGCAGATTGAGCTTTCTGGCTCAGACGACAATGGCCGCGGAGGGTAAGTCGATATACCCCACGTACAGGATGTAATGCTGACTCCCTAAGAAACGTCGCTGCTGGAGGCATTGAGCGCATGGAGGTCCAGGCTCGCAAGTTCTACTCGCAGCGCAACATGTACCTTTGCGGCTTCACCCTCTTCCTGTCGCTCATCCTCAACCGCACCTACGTCATGATCCTCGATGTTCTCCGTCTCGAGGAGGAGGTCAAGACCCTGAAGGGCGACCCCGCCACCAAGAAGGGCTCTTCCCTGAAGGATGTTGGCGGTGCCGGCGAGGTTGGAGCTCTCAAGAAGGAGCTTGAAGCCAAGGACCGCGACATGGCGAACCTGAAGAAGCAGGTCGAGAACATGCAGAAGGAATACAACCGCATGGGCGACCAGGTCTCTGGCAAGCAGTAGATGCACACGGTAGCTTCGAATGGACACGGATGCAGCCGGCGCTGGCTTCCCAAAGTCCAGGAGAGGTTTTAACTACGATTATACCTTCAAATTTGAAGCTTCAAGGGCCCTGTGCCGGTGGACACCAGCCGTGCACACGATTATATCGTCTTTGTTCTTAGGGTGTAAGAGGGATTAGGAGGAAGGAGAGTTGAAGCTGTCACGAAGCTTCCGCATTTGGCTCTGTAGCAGCAATGAATAGCAAACATATTTTGAATACATGTAGTCTTCTGTTTCAGGTCTTGTTCGGAAAGCTTCTTTTCTGGTCTTGTCGGCAAGCTTCTTTTCTGGCCTTGTTCGGAAAGCTTCCTTTCTGGTCGTGTGCGACGGGGCCGACGGATGTCTTGGAGCTTGCGACCGGGACTCCCGCAATGACGAAACACGGCGACTAGCACATGTGAAAGCTAGCGCAATGCTTCAGCTATCTATCCCGAGGCATACCAAATGCCAGAATAAAGACAGCGAAGAAGTATACAAGTGCTGCCCAATCTAACCAGCAAGCCAATTGCACATCCTTCCAGCTCTCCTTGCCATTGGTCCTGTGAAGCCATAGCCAAGATGTCGGGAAGCAATCAGACGTCCCCGCGCTTCTTCAACTATCCCACCCCCAAACCTCACGACGCGCCATACAAGGCACCGCCTCCAGGAAAGAATCCTGTAGTCAAGGGAGCTTTACTGCACTATCTTTCCAACCTGTGAGCCATTCGAGCCTCTTCGATTCAACACAAAGCTAATCGACTCAGCGTTGCGACTGTACCGGTGGTCCCTGGCATCCTGTGGAGCAATGCCGGCTTCAGCTCTTTGCGAGAATGCAGACAGCTCGACGGAATCGACCCGCGCTACGATCCCACCGTGATACCGGTGGCCGAGGCGAACGAAGCTCCTACCAGCTATACAGATAAATCCAGCTTGCGCGAATCGTTCAACCACGCCTCGTCGAGCCGATTCCACTCCATCAAAGACTTCCACGACGCATACTCGAGCGGCGCACTTACGCCCACCGATGTTATTGAGCACCTTCTTCCTCTCATTCGCAGAGATGTCGCACAGCGTTCGCCTTACTCGACAGCCTTCATGGACAGCAAGGTGGACATGGTCAGGCAAGCCGCCGAAGCCTCCACGCAACGATACAAGCAAGGAAAGCCATTGGGCATACTAGACGGCGTTCCCTTTGGTGTCAAGGACGATCTCAAGGTCAAGGGGTACAAGCACTACATTGGCACCACCCACGACTACAGCAACGGCGGGAACAAGGACACGAGCTGGTGCGCAAAGATGGTAGAGAAAGAAGGTGCTATCCTGGTCGGAACGCTGACCATGCACGAACTGGGCATGGGTGAGCACAAGTGTCTACGGCCCTTGGTACAAAGCTAACTATGAAAGATACCACAAACAACAACCCAAACTGGGGTACACCAATCAATCCATACAACAGCTCATACTACCCGGGCGGCTCCTCAGGCGGCGCTGCATCTGCCGTAGGACACGGCCTCATACCTTTTGCCATTGGCTCTGATGGCGGTGGTTCAGTCAGAATCCCCAGCAACTACTGTGGTTTGTACGGCCTGAAGCCATCCCACTCCCGCGTCTCGGTCGCCCCCATGCCAGATGCTGGGAAATCCGTCACCGTTCGAGGGCCCCTCGCAAGCAACATGTCGGATCTGGAAATCGCATACCGGGTACTCGCCCAGCCCGACCCATCAACATACCCCTCGTCGCTGTTCAGCCCACCCAGAAAGCACACAGGGCCCCGAAACAAAGTGCTAGGTGTATACAAAGCGTGGATCGACCGCGCCGACCCTTCTGTACAAGAAGCCTTCCACTCAGCCTTACGGTACTTTGAATCAGAACTAGGCTACCAAACCATCGATATCAGCATCCCACTCCTCACAGAAGGCCAACTCGCCCACGCAATGACCATCATGGCCGAAGGCGCCGCCGGCCACAAGACTTCCATCTACGACCTCACACCACCCAACCGCATCCTAATGAGCCTTGCGCGCCAGAGTCCCGCCACAGACTTTTTGCTCGCCCAGCGCCTGCGCAACGTGCTCATGGAACACCTCGCTTCCCTCTTCAAACAGCACCCCGGTCTCATTGTCGTCACGCCCACGACACCCAATGCAGGCTGGCCCATTGATCCCGCGGAGCTGTCTCATGGCGTTACCAATGGCAACATGCAGATTAGGAATATGGAGTATGTTTGGTTGGCGAATTTTACGGGTATCCCGTGTATACAGTTTCCGGTGGGGTATGTGGAGGGTGTCAAGGGCGAGGGGAAGATTCCGGTGGGGCTGAGTGGCAATGGAGAGTGGGGGAGTGAGGATTTGTTGGTTGAGTTTGGGTTTGACGGGGAGAGGTATGTGCAGGAGGGGTTGGAGGGTGGGAGGGTTATGCCGCGCGGGTGGGTGGATGTTCTGAAGAGGTAGGTGATGCGGATACTACGGGGGGCCGTGACTAAGCTACCATGTGAACGCTTGCTGTTTTGTGTTTCTTTCTCTGCTGCGTTGTGTTGGTCTCTGCTATGTCATGATTCCAATTCTGTCATCTTGACACATGGCCATGTATGACCGTATACATGGTGAATAGGCAAAGCACAGAGAAGAAAATGTGAACTACAAAGCACACTGGATACCCATCTCCGAACCTCAATGTCAGCAAAAACAAAACTGGGCAATTCATATCCTTCACATGTGGAAGGGTATCCTCACTGCAAGAACTAACCAAACATACTCAAGAGAGAGAGAGACCGAAACGTAGATGTGTAAGCACACTGATCAATTCCGACGGACCCAAGTAGACGGGATTTACAAGGAACCCATTCCAACCCATCAACAAGCCAACAAATATCAGCCTCCACAGGTTTCTATTTGTGAACGTTACGCAGCCAGCTATTACGGAGGTTTCGAGAGCAAGGGGCTGACGATGTACTTGAAGGTCGGCCTGCGGAAAGCTGCCCATCCTGCGAAGAACCAGCTATGCGCGGAGACCGTTGTACTTGCAGTGCAGCAACCGACTGTCCTACTGCTATGCTCGCCTACATGCGGAGAAGCGAGCACCGGTGCGGGCACAAAAAGCCCCCTTACCAGCAGCAGCTCCATGGTCTTTTTGTTTCACCACATAAGAGTTGGGAAGAACTACGAGGGACGGACATATAATGGCAGTCATGTTTACGTTTACCGTACCGACGCTTCTACCATGTTCGATTAACGATAAGTGACGATGGTCAAGCAGTAAGTTGAGCCGATGGGCATCCCGCAAGCAAATTTTCCTGGCTGGGAATGCTTCACTGGAAGAAAAAAAGCGTTTCAGTTGAGTTGGGGACCTGCAGATGGGATGTGGCAGAGGTGAGTGTTACTCTCTGCTGTATGACCGTTAAATCGCGCTACATGCCACGATGATGACAATAAGCTTTCAGATCACGATCAAGTGAGATAGATGCCTCCATAATGGAAAGCACAAGCGCATTCGACATCAAGATGACATCGCGATGAAGAATGCCGACCGCCAGTCTCTGCTTTATAGCGTGCTAATGAAGATTGTTGATCAGTGCTGATCGATAAGGAAAAATTCTGCTACACTTTGTATCAGGAGCCTGCGCGTCAGCGCCTGAGTTGCCTTGTTAGTCCCCGATGTTCCGATACAGGTCTGACACGTTCGGCCACGGAAGCAGCTAACGATGATGGACAAAGATATATGCCAGAGATGGTTATGGCCATAAGATGATCCGGGGAATCCCCAACAGAATGGTCTCACTAAGCCAGGTTGTGTTGTCTATCATTTATGGTGGAAGTGCCACATCCGGAGATGGGTTGGGGTTAGGTGGATGTCAATCGATAGCGACAATGCTGCCGATGGGATACACATGTCTGAGCTTGAGCATCCGGTAACATATCGTGGAGATTGTATCGCTGGACACGTGTATGTATCTTAGGATCGATGTTAGTTCGCAATATGCCAGTCTTGGCGGTAGATGTCTCCTGTCCTGTAGACCGGCAGGTTGCGAATGTCTCCGATGCAGACCATACTTGTTTGCTACACAGAAGCAACGAGTTATTTCTGTTCAGTGGAAACTATTGTTTCATCTCTCAATATGCCGCAGACCATGTCATTGGCTATATATCGTACGTTATAGGGACGCGTGGTTGTCGGTATTGCCGTTGCCGGCGATTCTGTCGGTGCCTTACTTCCAACTCTTCAAGCCTCGTGATACGATGCCATGCGATTTTGCTGACTTACATCATCACATCCCAGCAGCGGGACTCTGCAACACAAAACGCCGCACTGTCTCCGAATGCAGCCCTACCGGACATATAGGCCGCAGGTCCACAGTTGCTTGCACGTCGGCGCAACGGCGGCACGTTTTGACTTGGTTCGGCAGCGTTTGATTACTGGGTTCGGCAATGTCCCAAGATCGCAGTGTCGTGATTGATGTCGCCTTGTTGTGAAATCAGAGAAGGGGGTGTCGGGCCGATATAGGTGTATTGGTTGCGTGTACCAGGTGGACCCTTGCCAGCGAGCTCATGACTCAGGTACCATCTGCTGGAGAACCACCGAAGAACGAAAAGTGGAAACCTCACAGACGAATGCCGGACCAGCGATGATGCAAAGACAACGGGAAGGGTGCTAGCAGCATGCAAATTGATTCATCAAGTGCGTTAAGCGAGCTGTGGTGAGCCTGTCTTGTCGACTTGGAGTGTTGGAGAGTTGGAGAAGCGACGTTGGAGTCGAAAGTATGCTGGCACATGTCGGGTGACGTGGGCAGAAGTCACTCAAGTCAAAGTCAACTTAGTAAAGGTTCCGAAGTATCGACGTGATGCAGTCACATCCCTTGTGAATCATTTGAGATGTTAATTGTCATAGTCTTGTAGGAACATGCGATGGTGGCTCTCATGTCGCAGACCATGTGCGTCGCCTTGAAACCCCGTGCTGATCGTTGTCGACTGGAAATGGCAATGGTACGCTGGCGAGGTATGTAGACGCGTGGTAGAGACATGGTAGGGACATACTGCGCGACGCCGGACCGAATAAAGCAATGATAGTATAGCTGCAAGGCCGGCTGGTGCCGGTCCTACTCGAATACCCGCGGAAAAATGACAATCGTTCCTCTGTCTTTCCCTAAGCAGCCGTGTTCCCGAACGATCGTCACGAAGCAGAACAGCGGTGACCTATTTCGACGCTTCAGAATGGTTACTTGAGCACAAGTTGCAACCTAGCGAGATGCGGATCGTACCGGCGAGGTGGAGCTATGAGTGCTGAAACGACTTATTGATAATGGGGAAACGGTACGCCAGTCAGACGAGTGTGTTTTCTCACGTTGGAACGCTGGACGTCATGATCCTGGAGATCGCCATTGTCCAATGCAGGAGAACTAGGGATTGGACAAAGTGCGACAGTGTTGCGGCGGAGACGGGAATTGTTCCATCCATTCACGAGCAAACCACCGCTGTCATCTTGCACGAAAAGAAGCTCTTGGCCCGGAGAGCAAAGGTCGAATAGAAGCACCGTGAGCGGTTGCGCAGTGTCCAGGGTGACGTGCTGATCAAACCAGAATTTCGTCATTGGTCATGGCACGGTGCGGAGTCAAGCGCACACGAGATCTCAGGGTCCCCGGTGCTGACACGATGGAAAGTGAGCGACTGGAGCCCTGCAAAATGAAAAGAGGCGCATCGAGGCCGCCCTCACGACATGTCTTGAGTGTGCCGCAAGTTTGGCGCTGTGCATGCTGGTGGTGCCAACGGGCGTGGATTGGTTCGCAACGGCAATGTACGAATACCATGGGAGCAAAAGTGGCAGGCCAGCGCCGCCGCCGCAGGGTCCTCTTAGCCGATCTTATATATTTCTGGCTCGCATGCTCGACGAAACGGAATGCAGACAAAGAGGGATCAGCGACCAAGCCCAACATGAGCGGCTGGTGATGTGCGCATGGACAGCATGACCCGCAATCTGTCGGTCTGTAACGCGTTGACCTGTACGCTATTGCCTGCTGTGCTGGACGGCGAGGGGCGGTGGGTCGGGGGCGGATATTAAGAGTGTTGTATGTTGTGATATTAGGAGTGGTGTGGGTGCAGGAGGGGGAAGATTGAGACTGCGAGAGAGAGAGAGCGCAAGGCGACGCCGTTGGATGATGCAGGCACCATCATAGCGACTTCCTTCTCACGTCGTCGGGGGCGAAGGGGGCACGCCATTGGTGGTTGACGGAACCCACGGCAGTGTTCAGTGATGTCAGCCGCCCGCCTCGAGGAGCCGTGCTCGTTGTGCGGTGGGACGTGGCAGAATGGGGCAATTGATCAGCTCTCCCATGTCTCACAGCTGCTGGCGACGTCATGCACCGCTTTCAGCCTTCTCACGCCTCTACCTCGCCGGGGCGCTGCAATCGCAACAGCTCCTCTTCACAACCCACGCACTTGTCTGATTCACGGCATACACACGGTCCAGCTTGCCCTTGCACTTTACGGAATACATTCGCCAACGCGCCCCAGTTTCCTTGGGCGAATTCCTGGCAATAGTTGTTCGGCCATCGCAGCGCTAATTGACCGCTTCTAATCATCCGCGCCTCTGGTGGGTGCTCTGCCCTTGCCGATCAACACAAAGCTCCAACACAAAGCTCCCACAAAGCTTGAGTGCAAGCGTGGGAAAAGTCGACAGCAGCAAGACAGAAAAGGTTGTCGAGAGTCATTCGAGGGCGCTATCGAACTACTTTGCCGCCGCCACCCCGAGCATCTCTGCTAGGCGTCAGAGTTCCGACCTTCCTCTACGCATTCCACGCTACACGGGCAGGGATCCTCGTCTCGGGAGACCCTGAAGCATTATCTGGCTTAGCGCAGACAGGGGCCCACCCACTCTAACATCCTTCCACATCAACCGTGTGGCTTTATCTTGGCCTGAACCCACCTACGGCATACTCTTGCCGACGCTCGCCCACCTGGCTCCATCCCTAAACCTACACTCTGAGAGCCGCACTATACTGTCTCGTGCAATGAACCCGCAGATTCTCATCACCCCCCATCCGTCTACTTCTACGCAAGACGACCGCCGCCAGTCCTACCCCGACGACATGTCGACTTCCTCATCCAACTCTTCCATCAGCGACACGGAGATGAAAAACGACCCCACACTACAGACCAGGCCCCGTCTAGGGAGCAGGAAATCCAGCGGCACCATCATAATACCCCGCGACAGCCCCAATGTCGAGATGAAGGAGGAGGAGGAGGAGTACGATGACGGCGATGCGCGGACCATGAGCCCTCGCCGGAGTAGCGAAGAAATCGAGAAGATGGGCCAGGATGCTCGGCAAGCTCTGATAGAGTAAGTGACTCAACCCTGCACCACCACGCACGACGTGTCGACGCTGCGAAGACCATCGGCCAACCTCGCTGTTGCTGTTGTTGTTGTCGTCGTCTTCGTCATCGTCGTCGCTCGTTGCGCCATGGCTTCTTGGTTACTCTTTTGTCGTTTGTGTTTCGCGTTTTGACTTATTGTCCCAGTCCTTATCAAGCTAACCGTTTTGCTAGACAAGCCAAAGCTCTCCAAGCCAGTCTGATGCAGATTGTTGATCGCGTCGAGGTTGTCAAGAACGAGCATGAAAAGCTCGAAGGCGGCAACAAGTTCCTGCAATCGTACGTACCTCAGCCATCTGCTCCGCAACACCTGTGACTAACACCGGGCAGATATATTGGCGAGCTCATGCAAACGAGCAAGCTCACCTCTGCGGGCGCTGGAAAAGCGTCCAAAGTCAAGGGCAAGGGCAGAATCATCAAATAACAATCAGTGCTCGTGCTCATCCCTACCGGCGCAGTGAGCTTACACCAAGTCGGTATTCCACCCAGGCCCCGACTCATCATGGACGCCACTCGTCTCTCGAACCCTCACTACCACGCAATCATGATGGTCTACTGCCTCACATACTGACCACCATGGCATCCTTCCAACACACGAACACGTACGCACGTTGAAACCGCGTTTATGAGCATCTGCATAGCGGCACAGGATTGGGACCCGGCGTTCGTCATTACACTTCGATTCAGCAAACAGCTTCTGTCTTACCACCCTTTCGACAACCATATGAGCTCGGCTTGGCTCAGCTCAGTGTTGTCGCAGCTCCATTTTGCGAATATACCACGGCACATTGCGCCCTCGACCATTGGTTCTTTTACAACAACTTTTGCACTTTTACCCGATTAGTTCACGGGGGTCATGGCGACTACGGTGTTACGGGAGTTTTTCTTTTCTTTCCAATTCGATTCTATGCCATGGCAGGATTCTGTTCGGTACCCAACCTCGTTCGTTTTTTTCTCGGTACAGATGCAAGATTTGACGGAAGCTTTGACTTGCATGTCTTCCAGCCTATAGCTGAAGTATCGGGGCCTTTGTGTCGATACTCGGCGCTATGTAAGGCTTTGTTTTATTTGACGGAGAAAATTAGAAGTAGCATAGCTTGCATGAGCGAATGAGCATGTTTTCGCGACTGCACACAAGGAGCACAGAACGAAGCACAAACTGGTCAATCATGTTTGGTCCTTGCTTGTTTCCCGCCGCCCAACATGTCCATCGTGATGATGCCAATTCACGATACAGATTACAGCTCCATGACTGCATGTGTGTCAGTGCATGTCTGCCCAATCTAGCATTGAAACAGGCAGGACCCTGCATGCCCATGCCAGATACGGTGACCAGATGACCCGTCCAACAGGCTCCAACGACGGAACACGCGCAAGGCTGCCGTGTGGCAGATGCAAGAAAAACTGTTTTGTCAGGACCCGCACCGAGAATGCCCCTCTTCGGTACGTACCTTGCTCGCAACAGCAAAGCACGCAAGACAAGGAAGCGTGACAGCCGTCGCACTAAGAAAACCACGCAAACCAGTTGACACGACGCCCGCCCGCTACGTTACGCCCGCCCCTTTGGATCTCGGACGTGCTTGTCTCCGCTCCTTGTCCTCTCTGTCGATTGCACGAGTGCCGACAATCAACCTTGTCTCATCACATCAACTTGCAGCGACTCATGAACAAGTCATATTTTATTTTTGCACTTGGTGACTGTGGCCACCTTAGTGCATTCGGCGACACGATACAGTATACACGCAAAAGCCCCTAGTGTGCACTTTGCGAGGTTCCGACGTGTCAAACATCTCATGTGCCCCGGTGTCCACCGTGTGCCAAGATCACTCACTACACTAACCCTTCGTACAGCAACACTACCGGCTCGTAGCTGCTCGTAGTCTTGCAGCCCGGGGCATCGGTAATGCAGGTTCATGATGCGCCTGTACATATGCGCAGACATGCCACATGCCATCTCCACTTTCCTTTCCGTGCGAGTTCTGACCATGTGTGGCACACAACTTTGCCGACTTGTTACCGGCCGGAGGAAGCCAGGTGGAGAGGACCTGGAAATAAGGATTCTCACCTTGTATACAGAACTTTGCTGAACTCGGCTCTTGGTCCGCTCTCTCTCACGTTTTTGATTGGAGCGGAGGCACTTGGGTGGAGGGAAGGTTCAAAATGGGAGATTAAAGATATCGGAAAGTAATGATTCGTGGGGGCGAAATTGGCCGCGCTTGGGAGGAAGGAGAGAGAGGGGTTCCGCGAGATTGAGTGGTAGGAAGCGACGTTAGTGTTGGGTATTGCGATTGACAAGCTCCTGGATGAGCTGAAGCCAAATATAGGCCATCGCGCTTAATGGATGTACACGGTAACAGTGCGCGGTTGTTCAGCTTCTGTACCAGTGCGGTGAGCGGGAGATAGGAGACGATCTTCACCACCCCACCAGCATGACTTCTTCACGTCTGCTCGATCTTCTACTAACTTTTAGACATTACAACAAGAAAGAACACGTACACACCGACTCCTGTATGCGTACGCTTCATGAATTCGTCATGTAGCCTGGAAATCCTGGTACGGGGAACATGGAGAATACCTTGACATGGTCAATATTGGGTTTCACTCTCATCTAGCATCCCCGCTTCACGTTCAAGACGTCAAGTCTCGTCGATGCCTGAACCATGCAATCACACCAAAGCAAAGAGTACGGATATAACTACTTGTAGTCGTTGCAAACCTTATCTCCGCAATGGGCGTACTGCGCATGTGGACGTCTGCGTCATTACTCTGTGAACTCGGAGCATGGTGGTTTCAATCTCGCATGGGGGTTTCAGGTTCGCGTGGTAAGCGTGCAGCATAACCAACCTAGCCAGAGTATGTACTCTCGCTCATCGAGCATTAGAGTGAGGCGGAACGCGAAACACTCATGTAGGCGACAGCGTCAAGGATACCGTGTTGGACAGCCCTCGGCATTGCGTCACTGCCAACTCCAACGCCTGGCCCAAGCTCAAGCTGTTTTCCTAACAAAACTGAACGCGACGACTCCCGTGTAGCGACAGACGACGCGTAGTGAAGCGGTGACTTGTCTTGCAGCAGGCCAATCGTTCCTGACCGTTTCCATCTAGATCGAGATCGCGTCGCTGAGTAGGAGCTCGTAGCTACCCCACCATGCACGGCATCCTCGAGCTCTCGCTGCAGCTCCTCAACTCGTTTAGCCCGGCCAATCTTGGTACGCGCGCCTCATTCATCAGCCACTTTGCTTCGTTTTAGCTTCGAGCAACACTTACTGATTGCGAATAGGTCAATCTGGAGCCCAGGTGCCCCTTCAAGGCGAACACAGCACAGCCACACCAACAACAAAGTCGTCTGGGATTCCGGACTATTTTGTAACAGATGACGGACATTTCCAAGGCCCTACCCAAACTGGCGCTGCACCGTTCCTTGCACAGACAAATCTAGCACCTTTTGCTGGTGTGTCGTACATACCCAATACGCCTCTGGAAACCCAGATCCCCATTGTTGGTAATGCGGACAACAAGAACATCTTCCAGAGCCTGGCAAACATCAGCCCTTACTTCCCTAATCCCAGAGGTTTCGGCGTGAACGAATACTCCATACCGCCTGGCACCAACGTAACATGGCTGAACATGGTTCATCGCCATGGGAGTCGGTACCCCGAGGTTAGTGGTGAAGCGGCAGAGAGGACTCTAGGAAAGAAGCTTTCAGATGCTGCCGGCAAGTTCACTGGCCATGGACCACTCTCTTTTCTCAACGATTGGAAGTTCCTGCTCGGCGCCGAGATCCTAGTCCCTAATGGCAAGCAAGAGCTGTTTACTTCTGGTACCCTGCACTATTACCAATACGGTCACCTGTATCCCAACAATGGAAGCAAGGTCGTTGTTCGGAGTACAACGCAACGACGCATGACAGAGTCGGCAGAGTACTTCCTTGCGGGCTTCTTTGGTTTAGGTTGGTCGCAAAATGCGACGCTTGAGTTGGCCATTGAGGCGCCTGGTTTCAACAACACGCTTGCTGGGTACAAGCAATGTAATCATTCAAGCTGGCCTATGGCTCGGGAGGGTCTTATGGAGTGGATTGGCGTATATCTTCACGACGCTCATCAAAGGTTTAGGAGCAACCTTACTGGTGATCTTGACTGGACAATCAGTGATACATACAACGCTCAAGCTCTATGTTCGTATGAAACCGTCTCGCTCGGTTTCTCCCACTGGTGCGGTCTCTTTACGTACGAAGAGTGGGAGGGCTACGAGTATGCTCTGGACCTTTCATTCCAGGCCGGTACAGGGTTCGGCTCTTCTGTTGGCCGAGCTATTGGCGTCGGTATGTCTTGATAGCCTCCATTGTATTTCTCGCCTTGCTAACAACAGCCAGGCTACGTTGAAGAAGTCCTCGCTCGCATGCAACACCACGTCATCACTTCCCCTTCCGCTCAGATCAACATCACCCTTGATAACAACACCGTCACCTTTCCTATAGACCAAAACCTCAATCTGGACTTTAGCCATGACGCTGGCATTATAAGTATCCTCGTCGCGTTCGGCATCACGCAGTTTGCCGAAGTGCTCCCAACAACCCATATCAAAACGCCACGCGAGTTCATCCTCTCGCACCTCCAGCCCTTTGCTGGCCGTCTTGATATCGAAGTCATCAAAGCGCCTGCGCCTGTCAACCCCAATCGGTCGGACGAGAAGATTTACCTCGACGGACCGCCGACTAGCTACGTTCATTTCATACTTAACCAGAGGACTATTCCGCTGGGGCGGAGTCACAAGGAATGTGGTGATAGAGATGATGGGTGGTGCGACATGGAGACTTTCCTCAAGGTCATGCAGAAGCAGATTGAGCTTGCGGATTATGATTACGCTTGCTTTGGCGAGTATGAGGCTCCTGCATATGGAGAGGTTACGGATGGACGGCCGGTTAGGTAATGGAAAGGTTTTGGGAACGCGTCGCGATGACGGCGTTTGCTTTTTTTTCTGTTGCTATCTAATGAGATAATGATGGTTGATGCCAGGTGATAATACTGCGTCACGAAATACTAGATACTAGATGCACAAGAGTTGCTTAGGATAAGGTGTGTTGTCGTGCAGGACTTGTAGACGAACCGCTACCAGGCTACGACAGCGGTGACAAGAGACTATATAGTAGGGTTTCCTAGCATACTAGCCTAGATCAGCCCAATACAACCTATGACCTGAGAGCAGAGAGCAACGGGATATTCCTCCTTCCCTTAGAATAATGCCGGAAGCTCACTACCCTTCTTTAGCATCCTCGTCCATGTCCGAAGCCCCTTATAGTAATGGAGCGTACCTAATCATCCTCTGAGCCATCCTCTGAGCCATCCTCTGCGTCCATGTCCCATTCCTCTGAATCGTATACGTTTTCCGGAATCACTTCGTCTTCGTCTTGCACCCCAATGTAGCGCACCTCCTGAGGTGCCTTCGGCCGTCCCCATTGTGACCGATCAGCTGTATATACATGCTCGGCATCTAGCGCTCGACCTTCGAGGCGCAACTCAATGACACCCTCCCCCAGAAATGTAATGTAGGCGTGATTTAATTCACCATCTCCTCCAATAGTGTCGACATGGAAAGCATGTGTGTCCGCAAAATCTGGAATTTCGTCCAATTTTATCCAAAGCCCTTCATTTGGCTGATCCATAAGGTAACACTGTATTCCAAGGGCATTGCTGCGATTTCCATCGAAGGGCCTCAGGGCTCCTGGGCGGATCTCGATGGTTCCAACATCCCAATTATCGAATGCACCGAAGGAATGTCTGGGGAGCATGTCCTCGACGTAGAATCTGAGGTAATCGGATGAGAACATTACGTATGGGCCAGTGATATCGTCAAGTGGTATCTCCTCGCCCCTTCGTAGCCTTTCGCGAAGTGCTTCTGCTCTTCGCCTATAATGCGCAGCTCTATTCCTTTCCTCGGCGATTCTGACCGATTGATTATGTTCATCATCAGAATCCAGCTCTTCTTCTTGTGACCAAGTTAGATTCTGACTAGGATTAGAGCTACTGCACCATACCTTTTTCCAGTTCGGGTAAGGGGTTTACTTGATGTTTAATCGGCGTATTGAATCGGAGACAGGTCCGGTGAATTTTGGCGATTAAGGTTTTGATGCGGAATCTAGAAAGAAGAAAGTACTTTGAACCTCTATATGTGCTGTTACAACGGGTGAAGAAACAAAAACGTGGCGGTGGCAAGCATGGATGTGACCTCTGTGAAAAGAGGATCTTCATTTACTCCCCGGTCGAACCCATTGGTCAGACCCATCGCGTTTCCGGGGAAATCCGCTTATTGGTCCTACCACCCGCACATGGCTTCAAAACGTTAACCATGAAAACGCGTTGTTGTATAAGGTGCGAAAGTAGTATCTGCCCGGAAAAGAAAACCATGAAATAACCGTCGATTGTTAGGGTGGTTACCTAGGTACCCAAGCTGTCGGATCCTAGAGACCAGGTGTATCCGCAATCCGGAAAACATATTTAACAGCACTTTGTTTCCCATCCTTTAGATCTTTCAGGGCCTGCTCCACGCCTTCCAGCCCCCCAGGCCTTACTTCGAACGGATGTCCGTCGAACGTTCCCGCCTGCAACGCTCTCGTGAACCAGCGACAAGTTACCAAACCCAGATCACTCGCATCAGCACCATGAGCGCCATTGTCCTGGTTATGAACAGTGCCGACCGATGTTTTTGTCTTGGTCTGCGAAGACCCAACGTCCCAGTCACTCGGCAGAACAAGATCGATTGATCCATCAGATGCGACGACCTCTGTCAACACCTTCTGACTGGGAAGCCCGATGCCAGGGTCAAGCCCGTGTCGCAATTCACCGTAGTTGCCTGCCTTGAGGTGTGCGCGAATCTTGCTTATCATTTCGTCAGCACCAATGCGGTAGTCAATGACAATATCGCCCTTGCTGCTATCGAGAAGCGTTTCGACGTAGTGCGAGCCCTTTCCTGCAATCGCGATGATGGGGTGAACGTTGCTGTTGCGTGCAAGCTTGATAGCAAAGGAGCCGACGGCCGAACTGGCGCCGTAAACCACAAAAGGTGTCGAAGTAGTTGCGGGATTCCAGGGAGTGGGGAGTTTGAGGTTGCGGAACACAGCTACGGCGGCGGTAAGGCTCGCGAGTGGTATCGTTGCAGCTTCTGTTAAGACACAAAGTTAATCATCTGCAACGCAGGGCTCCAAGGTGAAAGGGACGAGTATACCTTCAAAAGACTTTTCGGCAGGGATATGGAAAGTAGTCCAATCCCACGCAAGTGCATACTCTGCGTATGAACCTCCAGGCCCGCCCATTTCATGGAAAGCTGCGACGCGGTCTCCCTTCTGCTCCTTGCATTAGCATCTCTTCTCTCTGTCACAGTTTCTGGACTATGTACCTTGAACTCAACAACATCCTTGCCAACCTTTTCCACTATGCCCGCAATATCGTCGCCCTGGTTTACACCCCTCTTGCCCCTTGCCATTATTGAGTCGTCGTCAGGGCCATCGTAGCTAGCGGCGAATTCTGGTACTTTCCAGTCCTTGGGGTTGGAGCCGGAGACGACGACCTTGATGAGGACTTGCTTGGCGCTGGGTTCGGGGATGGGGGTATCAGACTCAATCTTGACCTTGACTCCTGAGCCAGGGCAGTTGACGAGATTCTTCATTGTGATGATGACGGTTTGAATCTGAGTTCGGTGAGATTTGGAAGACGTCTAACGTATCTAAGTACGGATTTCGAACGCAGCGAGGAACCGTACTGGTCCGTTTTCTAGGTAATAATTCCATCCTTTTATCATACAAGGTGTGCACGACGTCGCAATTGACATTTGCCGACTCCGTCGTTTCTGCGGCTGAATGTTACAAATGCAGGTGGTCTCTGACCACACTCTAACTCGAAGAAAACATGCGACACTCGACCGTACCTAGCTATATGGGGCCTAAGTGTAGCATTTCTCCTTCAATGGTGTAATGCCTACGTGCCTTCCCACGGAGTAGTCGACGGCAAGGCCCACTAGCGTGCGGAAGCGGAGTCTCGGATGGTTAGTTAGCTTGACATTTCGGACGGAGTGCACCGAACGCTGCAACGTCATGGCGCTTCCGATTTCTACCTAGAAACTTCCATTGCAAAAGGATGCAAGAATCTATGCTCCATCAAACGTCTAAGTTTACCAAAACGTTAAGAACTTGAAATCCGTAAAAGGACCAGACACGGTGTCGATCCTATTCATTCTCACTCACACACATACATTCGAACGACTGGGCAGAACGCTTATTTCATGCTATGCAGTCTTCAATTGCGACACTGCCACGATGCAACGCATCAAACCAATACTTTCGTAGCAAGTACCCATCCTTCGTGCTTCGCAAGTTCTCGCACGTCAAAAGTAAACACCACGTTGCCCCACTTCCATCTCTTCACTTCACGTCTTCATCTCCATTTCCATCTCCATCTCCAATTTCTCCAGATCCAAGTTTGGCGCCATCTTCTTCGCCCACCAAAGCGCTACCCAGCCTCTACTAGTATCCTTTAGTTTGATCGCCAGCTCCTGCTCTTGCTCCTGTTCGTCTGACTCCTGCTTGTATCGCTTCTCCATCTCTTGGCGCGTCATGCTGCGAAAGCTCGTATCGACCTTCTCACTGAAAGCCCCCGACGCCCAAACGCCAGGTACATATACTTCAGTCGTACGATGGAATTCAGGTCGCCGGCGGTGGTGCTCGGCAAGCGTGTGAGTAGCGTGTGGTAGTACTATTGCAGTGCGAGAGAGCGGCTGGAAAGGTGGAGGGTTGGCGACGTAAAGGTGTTCAGGCGACATAGTCACGGTATCTGATAAGCGAACCCGTTTGGACAGTGGCGATGGCGAGGAGGATTGGCTGCCTGTCAAAGTGATGGCGCGAGGTCGCTTGAGGACTGGTTTAGGCATCGCGATGTTATGCTGGTAGTCCGGCAACGACGTGGCAAGCGTCTGCGCGATTGCTAGCAGTGGACACTCGAACTCGAACTGACGTACACCTGAAGGCTCTTGCGGTACAGGATATTGAAGCTGGCTGGTGGCAGGGGTTTGCGACGACGTTGAAAGTGAAGTGTCTACTGGCGGATTTGTTCGAGATGACTCCAGCTCTTCTTGTGTCATCTCTTTCTCAATAACCATCTTCAGCCATACCATCAGTAACCGCGCTTCTTCCTTCTCCTCATCAGTCGGTTCTCCTTCTTCCGCACCCTGGACGTATCTTAGACCCGGTACCCTAGTCAGCACAATCTTCTTCTTATCCCACACGTTCAATGCTTCTCTCAGCTTTGGAAGATCCTGGACTGGTGTGTTCTTGTCTTCAAGCAAGTCTTCGAACTTCTCTATGGTATTTGCCAATGCAATCTTGGCGGTACGCCAGGCCTTTCGAAGGACCTTGTGGGCGTCTGCCGTGTGGCGATCTTCTCCCCTTTTCTGGGACTTGAGCACTCCGCCGCGCGCATCGAACTGTCCTTGTACAGATTGAATAGCGGCGATTTGTGAAGTTATTGTGCACGTCGGGCACAGCAATGGAGAGGCTGGCTTCGGTGCAAGAGCAGCAGCTTTAGCGTGGGTGCAGATGCTCGCGACGCAGACGGGCGCGGCGCCCTCAACTCGTACCATTTTGCGCGGCGTGAGGGTTGAGTGGAAGCGTTAAGCGTAAGTATGGCTGTGGCGAGAGATTGTTGCGATACTGTGCAGGACACCTGGGACCGTGCGTGACTGACCTGCGGTTCTATCTTGGACTGAAGGCAGCAAAGTGAAAGAGCGCATGCTGCCGCCTCGTGACGTCGCAATAACAGGTGAAGTAAAGGAGAAAATTGGGGAAGCTGTCGCAGTCTTCATGGCTCGGACGTAGACATGTCCACGCTCCAGCATATCTCAGACAATATCTCTAGAACTTTTGGAAGCAGAATAAGGAGGTACCAGATGAGACAGCCCCACCTTGAACATCGTTCTATATACACACCTCAAACTTCATGAAACAGCCAGGAAAAAGGTCACATGTGGCGGAAGGGCGACAATCAGTGGCGAGATGAGAAAGAAGCAAAGAGCTATCTGAGAGTGATGTCATCGATACCTAGAAAAGCGTTCTGCAGTACCCGGGTATTAGTAGAGGGAAAGGTCCATCGAGTGAGTCGAATGATTGATAGTGAGTAGAAGTGCGTGGCCTTTGGTGAAGTTGAGGTACCGGGATGCAGGAAGTCCACGCGGGTTTTATGCATAGCTAAGCTTTCTTCAGTTCACACCAGAGGTACCCGCGACGACCACCATGCGCCGAAAGGATCAAGAAGTTAACTCACAACGTTCTGACCGGATCAAGACCTTGCTCGACTTTCCCACACGGCTTCGGTATGCTGCAGGCGATTGTCGCTATCATAGTACTGCACTGCTGAGCGTTGGTAGCAACAGAGAGTGCTGTCACTGCGCTTCGAACCACAACGCGCAATCCCGAGTTATGTGTTCGCCGAACACGATAGTATGATGCACAGCTAGGCCCGTGATACTACAGAACCTTGCTAAGTTTCGCTCATCACCGCCTACTCACATGGCCATCTCCAGGCACACCTATCAAGCACTTCTCTCACTTCTCTCAACAAATCGCATGGCTGCACATGTCTGTATCTTCTCTTGCATCCTCAGCTATCGGCAAATAAGCCAAGTGCCGAACCGTCGTGTAAACAACATAGTCAATTACCGAAATCTGTCGGCTTGATCGGCGAGGCGACGTGGACCGTGTGAACATATACTACAAATAGTCGGTAATTGCTTCCTTGCGGAAAAACAAAAGTCAACTTGTAATGCATAATTCGAACGACATCAAGCGGGAGATGGCATGTTTGAGAGTCCTGTACGTAAGAAAGGAGTCTCCGAAAACTCAGAAAACGGTTCTCGTGAAGGATATGTTATGACATTAGCCAAGGCCGCGGCCCCGGGAGTCCGTGGACGCGAGGCTGGAAGGAAGCTGCGATCGCGCCACCACGAACGAGAGCATCATCTAAAGTGTGACACCAACATCGACGCCAAACACATTGCATCGTGTTTTCCGTCACTTTCGTTCCTTCTTTTTTCTGCTTGGAGAGATGTGTTGGTAATAGGACCGAAAGAGAAGACCAAATCGTGCTTTGGAGCCGGTGCGACTATCGTAGCGCCTTCTTAGGGCAATAATGGCAGACCATGCTATCGAAGAGCCACATGAAGACCATGGTACT